TTTTTTTTCTTCTTTTTAGGCACTGGAACAAAATTTTGCTGAAGGAACTTTTCATTTTCACTGTTAATTTGAATTTGAACATGCTCAACATGCTCATTAAAAAACAGTTACATCTCTATTAATGTCAAGAAAGAGAGTCAAAAACTCAGATCATTTAACTAAACACATACTTTAAACAGTATGAAGTAAATCTGGGGTGATGGAAATGACTCCTATTCAGTGTAGAAAATGTACAAAGCAAAGTTGCAAACATCACAGATCACTTCATTAACAAGAGTTCAGAAAAAAGCATTCTGAGCTACTTTTTTTGCAACAGCAGTCATCAGTTTCTGTTTCTAAGGTTGAAGGTCCCATACAGCCCAGTATACTGTATGTCTGCAACTTCTGTCTGCACGTTTCCATCCTGACATTACGCCCTAACCTTAATCCTTTCTTTGCTATTGAAAGTTAGCCAGAGCTGGCAGCTGGATAAAGTTCAGAGCTTGCTCTTACCTGAGTTGTTCAGTCAGCTCCTGGTAAATGTCTCTGTAGTCAGCTTGTGTACCTGTTGTCAGTCCTGCCTGTCTTATATACTCCACCCTCAAATCCCCCTGACGTGCTCACCCATATCTTTTGATCTTTTTTTTGCTCCCCCGCCCTCCAATAAGCTGTACTTTGAGATTAGGAGGGGGCTAAAGAAGGGACCCGATGTCATGACATGTGTTGATTTTTTCACACCTTACATAATGTTGCATCTATGGGAGAGCTAAATGGATTGACAGAAGAACACTGGATATAGTATATTTGATGCTGAATATGCTATATCCAATGTGTTTTTTTTTTTCTTTTAGACAGGCGCATTGCAAAAAAAGTATTTTATGATATCTTAATCACATATGACTATTCTCCAACCACACTCAAATGAGTTGAACTTCAAAATGAAAGAACAGATGCTGGAGGGTTCTTTATGATAGGGTGACGGTATTATGATTACCGAAAACCAGGACACTCGGCCTGACGATGAGAAACTCAAATGATACTCAAAGATGCCTCAAATTATCACTACATTTAAAGTCTGCCTTCTCTATATGGGTAGAAAACTATAATGTTGTAATATTACAAAACACTTTCTATAATCAAAGACACAAATTCAGATAGGCTTCTTAGAAGTTACTCAACATGTTTTATTATGACCAGTTTCAAAAATAACAAATTAAACACACATGTTTGAGATTTTTCCTTGTTTGTATTGAATGTTTTATACACTAACAGAATGAAATAAAGTATCAAATCACAAATCAAAATAATGATAGAAATAATGTCTCTTCTCTATTAGAAAAGGAAAAAAAGAAAGAAAGATTTGATTTTTAACAGTGTACAATATTACTTCTGTTAATTTATAACAATCAGTATTAAAATATTTTCAGGCTTAACATAAAACACACCAAACATGAGTAGTGAAGAAAGAGAGAAAGAAAGAAAGAAAGAAAGAAAGAAAGAAAGAAAGAAAGAAAACCTCTGCTATATTAGCAATCCAACTTAAGAATAATTCTCACAAACTTACAAAAACTAACTAACAAAAAATATCTGTATCTTTAGTTTTCTTCTTAAAAAACAAAAAGACCAGGACATTTTCATCACTTTATTAAGAGAAAAGAAGAAAAAAAACAGGATGGCCAGGACAGATTGTAAAAACATGTGGACACGTGTTGGGAAAACAGCCACATTATGACAAGTGAGAGAAAAATCCAAACTCAAGGTTTGCTGTCTTCTTTCATGCAGAGCTTTCTTTGTCTTATCAAAGTTTAAATCTAACAATAAAAATGTGAAATTGCTGAAAAAATACAGGGACTTCTGCAGTCGAGGGCATTCTTCTTGCAGATAAGCGCCATTAAGACAGGTGCTGTAATAAGAATATATCATATGTGATTTTCTCTCAGACACCCTTGCCCTGCTACTGTAATAGATATTATTGCTTATAGATAATATTGTTTGCACGTTGTCCCACAGTGACCTGAGTCCATGCCATGAGGCTGAAGATTAAAGGCTGAATAGGTAAGCGTTCTTTCTTTGCCGCTAAGCAATTCATCACCTGCATGCAGCTCAAGCCATCTATGCTCTTACATCACATGCCCTATCTTTATCCTCATGAGGACAGGGTTGGAACACATGGTTGTGTACAAACAAGCTGAAAGCATTAACCCATCTTTATTTTTTCACTATTAAACATTTGGACGCTCTCCAAGCCTCCTTCGTGTGTCACAGTTTTCAGCTGATCTGAACATTGTCAGGTGTTAATGTGTGTTGCACAGCCAAAAAAATAACAATTCTTCCAACTTTGGTTTTTGCACACAGGATTTTAGCAACAACAACAACCTCTTGATAGGGTTACACACTGACTACGTGACACTGTAAAGGGGAAGATATTAGTGGTGCCTGTCAAACATAATGCCGGTCATGTCATGTCCAACAACTAAAGCGCTCAACCTTCTTTTACAAGATGTACCGACGCAGAAAAAAACGTTTCCCTTTAATAAACCGTGTAGCGAAGTGCTAAAGTGGGCACAGAGGTTTTCGGGTGGAAACAGTTTTTTGAGCATTCATGACTCATTCTGCTCTGTTTTCACATTAATACATATATTCATTATTATTTCTATTGATAAAGTACTAAGAGATACTAAGGTTTTTATGAAAAGTCTGACATGACAAGGAAGCAAACTATAAAAACAGTGTATGCATCATGCTCATCAGGTTTAATACAGTATATGATATTTTAGTAATTATTTGTCTCAAGACACTAACAATGAAGAATCTTGTGTTTAATTTCACTAAAAAACAAAGACCCTTTGTGCACAGTAATGTTCAGGAACACCACTGTTAGCCTTGGAGACGGGTCGGTTTAATGCCTCTACAGAGGAGAACAGTCTACTTGCAGCATGAGTGAGGGGAAAAACTGCACCACCTTAGCTTAAGAGTTTTCAGTAAAATGTCCTCAGTAATGTTGATTTCTCCTCGCTTGATGATCATGAAAAACTTCGGTTGTGTTTCAGGTCTTTGCAGAAGATTTTTATCTGCAAAGCTTAGAAGAAAAGGGAGGATATGATGTTGAAGACTGAGCTGTAGAAGTTCAAAATGTCTCTGTGATGAGTTATTGAACCACTGCAGCTGTATCTGTGGTGTCTTATTAACCCATGACTGTTGGACACTTTGTGTACATGACATGTTAATTTATATCAATCAGTCAGTCAGTCAATCAATGAATGTAAAGGATAAGATCAGCAAAGCGCCAAAATCAACACAACCTTAAAACTTCTCACTAAATGTATGACAATAATAATAATAGAGACATATAAACCAGTCTTTAAAGCAATATTTTCTACACTTATACTCATTTCAACGTAGTAACAGTGGATTGCTACATAAATAATAAAGGAAAAGAAAGAGAGCGGTTAAATGTTGTATGATTATTATAGTTTCTTGATGTTTTGCTTTTATTAGATTGAACAGCTGAAAAGAGAGAAGAAATGGGGGGTGTAGAGTGTGAGGGATAACATCCAATCCAATTCAATCCATTTTATTTATATAACATGATTTAAGCCAACGCAAGGTTTCCAAAGTGCTGCACAGCAAGATAAACATACAATAAATAACACAACAGAAGCACAATAGATCAGGTAAAAATAAAATGAGATAAAACACAGTGAAATCAAATAAAAACAAATACAATAAACAAAATCAATAAAATGAAATAAATGAAATCGACCTCTTACTGGGTGTTAAAAACCAAAGAGATAAGATATAGTAAAATTAAATAAAAACAAACACAATAAATAAAATAAATGAAGTCAACATGCAACAGAAGATCATAGCAAAGAGTTGAACCAGCAGCCCCTGTGACACGACCCTCAACCTCAATACATGGAGAGTGTTGGAAAGCTGTGCCAACCAGCAGTGATTATTACCTATGATATATAAAAGATGTAGAAAGAGCCCTGCTGATTCAAGCTTTTAATCCATTGCCAGTATGTGTGCCCATCAAACGCTAATAATGTTGATTTTTACTAAAGATGGCTCATCTGTGGACACTTGGAAAAGACACCCTATCAACCAAAACACTGCTTCACACTCAGTGATTTCTCATACTCTGTGAGAAACTGTTAAATGTAGCATAACAAAACTGTCAAAATGATAAAAGTTTATTAAAGTATGTGGGAAAAAAAAGAGTCTGTGGATGGATTAGTTCCTGAATATAGCCCATGAGTAACACTTCTACTTTTACATCAACTCTTTGGGCTACAGACATCTAAATAGAGTGTGAGTTTGGATCTGCCAGTCTCTGATCTCCTCTATTTGTGGCTAATCTGGTACTGAACGGGTAGAGCCGAGTTGGCTCTAGAAAGAGCGACAGAGGGACAGATCTGAAGGGATTAAGAGTTTGCAGGAGTTTAAAAAGGAGTCAGCCTGGGAGAGGAATCCACAACCGAGAAGTACGAGAGACTCATCAAGCAGCACCGGGAAGCACTCTCAACTAAAGGTGAGATGAAACTGCCTTTTTCTCAGCGTCAGAATAGACAGACAGAGTCACATTTTCTTTAGTGTATTTGTCTTAAATGAAGCTGGAATAACACTTAAAACCGCCTCTGAGTGGACTCTGAACAGATTGAAGATGGTCCTACTCGAGGAAATAGCATCAGGTCTTATTTCTCGATGGATTTGGACAAGTGCAAATATTTTTTAGCACCGGTTATGCATTTTTTTTCAATTGCATGTGTATGTCTCTGAAGAGGATGGTTACTTGGAAGTCTAACTTTTTACAACACGACCAAACTTAAAGGGGTGAATAATGGAAACATTTAAAACTGTCAACAGAAAGATGAAAAACAAAGCTAAAACTGAGTGAAAGTTTATGTTACTGTTCTTAGGTAAAAGACAGGGATATACAACCCCAGTTTTACTCTCATATAAAGAAAAAAAATGTGAGTTTAATGTGAGTTTTTTTCCTCTTTCAGTAACAAATAAAAATGGCTGATGTTGCAACTCCCGCCGACAAGAAGGCTCCACCAAAATTCAAGCAGAGGGCCATGCGCACCTTCAAGAGCAAGGCGCCCAAACCAGGCCAGAAGGGGTGAGACAGTCACACACTGACAGTCACAACAAGCCCACAGTCACACCTTGTTTTCTCTGTTTGGTGCTCATCAGATTTTTTTGTTCCCTACTTTCAGTATGGGCGACGACATCCCCGGCATGGAGGGTCTCGGCACAGACATCACAGTGATCTGCCCATGGGAAGCTTTCGGGGACATGGAACTCAGCGATCTGGCGAAATATGGAATAGTTTAAACCTTCTGTCCTTCTTCCCTTCTTCCTTCCTTTCCCTCGCCCATCATCATCCCTCGTGTCCTCCAGCTGAAGACTCAACAGCTGAAAACGTTATTCTTGTATACTGTAGAGAGGAAGCAGCTTTTGACGATCTAGAGGATTGACTTGGAAAAAGACTTCTCCAGCATTCACTCTCCTCTCATGCACTTTATTTACCCTTTCCAACGATTCCCCACTTTGCCCTTTTCTACTTGTCTTACCCTTTCTTTGCCACTGAAACTCTGTTTTCTAATTACTGCCTCATGAAATGAGTGTACTTGTTCTTCCCACAGAGGAGGAAATAAAATCTAAACAACAAAGTATTGATTGATCTGGTTTTTCCTCCTCTTCTTCCACCTCTTCTCCTCAAAGTTGCTGATCCAACATGCACAGATGTCTATTTTTGTGTATTAGCTGAACCAAGTATATATTTTTACAACAAAGTCTATGATTGAATTCTTCTCTTTTGTCAGAAGAGAGAAATGAATCCATTCACTCAATAAATGGTCATATTTTCCATAGAGTATCTGTCCGTGTGTCCTTCTTATCAAACGCTTTATATTTTTCTAAAATGGGTCAAACTTTTCACTCTTAGTCAACCAGAAACACAAAAGGTAAAACCTGATAATATACATGTAAACAGGCTGCACCTTGTTTGGTCTCCTGTGTCCATATCTACATTTATTTCTGGGTTCAAACTCAGCAGGTCAGGGGTCCGTTTCACGTAGGTGGTTCAACAAACTCTGAGTTAAATCCTTAACTCTGAGTTGATCTACTCTGAGTTCGGAAACTCTGAGTTTCCGGTTTCACAACACCTGATTCGAGACGGTTTTAACAACTCCGAGTAGTTTGACCTGGAGTTAAGCACGTGCACGCCAGACATAAACAGCCAGCATCTGTGGAGCGCAGATTCAATGATCAACCAATGGAAACAGGGAGAAGGAGGGGGCAGCAGCAAGCCAACAGCGAATGACAGCACGTTTTTAAAAGAAAGTGCAATACAGCAGCAGCTGCAAAGGAGAGGGAGAGGGCTTGGGAGGAAATCGCTGCTCGCGTCAATGCGTAACTTTAAATCTAGTCTCGTGCAAACACAATGACAGACTGTTGCAGGGAAACTGCTTGAATCATTTTGATCATGTTTTACATTGTCAAGTAAGTATTAAGTGGCAGTTTGATCCCTTAGAAAATGCTCTTTTCACACTCAAAAATGAATTTTACTCTCTTATGATGTTCCGTTAAATGATTAGGAATATTAAACTAACTCTCAGTATGTATATGTACATATATTAAACTAACACACACTACACTCAATATTAGACTTTCACTCAGCAAACAGAAAGAGGGCAGATGCCAGAAAAACGGGTGGTGGCCCAGCAGCCCCACCTTTAGCGGAGGCAGAGGAGCTGCCCCCCCCCCTTAGACGATCGCAACCCCCACCCCGTAGCAGCGATCGTCGGACTGGTGTGTGTGTGTGTGTGTGTGTGTGTGTGTTATGTCTTACATAATAAGAGAGTAAAATTCAGTTTTGAGTGTGAAAAGAGCATTTTTTAAGGGATCAAACTGTCACTTAATACTTAGTTGACAATGTAAAACATGATCGAAATGAGAAAATGCCGATGACTCACCTGAAACTCTGGGTTTACTGAGTTAAACCTGCTCCCGAGCAGGTTAGGTTCACGGAGTCTGTTACTGTGGTAACTGACCGCGAGGTTGAGTTACCTCTCTTTGTGAAACAGGTTAGAGTTACCCCTCTCTCCCTGGTTTAACTAACCCTCCTTTGTGAAACGGAAAACTCAGAGTTTCCCTGATTTCAGGGTTAACAAACTCGGAGTTTCCACTAAACCTGCTACGTGAAACGGACCCCAGATCAGATGTTTGAATATCAACCCATCTGATCTGTTACCAGATCTACCAGTATTGCTGCCGCCTTTTCATAACTCACTGAAATCACTATTATAAATCTGGCTACTAGGCTGGCGGGAGGATATCTTTAGCTGTGGTTGTCATGACAACCAAGGCTGCCTCGTGTCTGTTTTTTGTTTTGTTTTTCAAAGAAAAAAAATGAAGATTTAAGAGAGACTAACAGTCTCACTAATATCTTTACAAACACTGCAATAAGATGTCAGATAAGACACACAATTATATCAAAAAGATTCGTTTTTTAAGGAGCCAAGACTCTTTGTTGTATGAGATAGTCTGCCTGAATGGTGAAGCTTACAAGCTTAAATATGTTTAACTAAATAGCAAATCATCATTGTGATCGTTTAAGGAGGAGAAATTACATTTGCAGATCGTAGCTGAGATAAAAATCGTTTGTGAGTAGCTCAATGACATTAGTGAAAGATGTTTAGGTCTTTCATGCTTGTTGTCAGTCCTTTCAGGTCATACTGAAGTAAAGCCTTTCTCTGAGACACAATAAGAGACAGACTTCAGGTTAGGAGTCAGTAAAGTGTCAACTTGTTTGGTTTAATAGAAATACTTGCAGGTGGCTGGTGCAAAATTAACTGTCATGTCTGTTTTTCCACTTTGTCTGCAGACTTTGAGGAGTCGTGGGCAGCGCATGAAAAGTCACAATGTTGATTTAAACAGTGTGCAACTATTTCACCTAATATGACTTCATCCTAAATCTCTTCAGCTTCAAATCCTGACTCTCTAAAGATTTGTGGCTGTGAGAACGAAAGTGAGATCATTTTGGCTGAAGCATGGATGAGTTTAATCAGCACAGCGCATCCCTGAGTAAATCTGCGGCATGTTTTCTTTGAGATATGCTGAAAAAATATTGACTTTTCCGACTGTGTTTGGCAGATCTACGAAATAATACATATTTGAGTTGCCTGTCTGTCATTCTGACTGCTACCTGCTGCTATGTTTTCCAATCAAACTTGAAGCTCCAGTGAGGAGTGTTTTGCTAGTTATGAAACAGACTAAAATTAAGGTTGAGGGCTCTTTATGACCTGTATCAGCAGCAAAGAGGCGGACAATATCTGTATATAATTTTGAGTGCCTAGAACCAGTGATAGGGGTGCAGGCATTGGCTGAATCGTCTAATATTTACCCTGAATCTAAGAATTTCATGAGGATTAAGTTTTGGTAACACTTTATTTGACACCTCTATAACGCATTATAAATATATGTACAATGCATTATAATCATGTTATAACACTGTATAACTATAGTTATAAACATTCACAAATGATCATAATGCTGTATAACAATAATCATAACACATTTTAAAGCATTCTATCATGACTTTCAAGGACAGGTATTATAATCTGTTATAACTGTTAACAACAGTTGTATTGCATTATATATGTGGGCAGTATCAGTGAGTTGTTAACAGTTATAACACATTATAATACCTGACCTTGTAAGTCATGATAAAATGCTTTATATCATAATTATTGCTATAAAGCATTATGATCATTTATGACTATAGTTATACAGCGCTATAACGTGTTTATAACGCATTATACGTATATTAAATTTCCCTTTCGGGGATTGATAAAGTTCTTCTTATTTATAATGAGTTATTGAGATAGGCGTTAAATAAAGTGTTACCAAGTTTGTTTGTTTTTTGTTAGTTTTTTTGTCAGAGGACACCACTAAGGCTTGTAGAGTACAAAATAAGAAATGACCACTCTGTCCACAGAGGGCGCCAAAACTGACACAAAACAAAAGTTCCTCACAGGAGCTTTAACAACATTCATATTTATTGTATTCTTGTGAGAGCTTCTCAAACATCTATCTTTTAAAAATCTATATTTCTTATCTCTTCATAGTATGTTCTTATTCTGTATTAAAGTTGGTGGGTAAACATCTATAATAACGTCACCTAACTAAAATAATGGCGTAAGTCATTTTTTAATGAAAATGAGTTTTTGGCTTAAATCATCTCTTTATGCTGGCCATCTCTGGATTTAGGTTTTAAGATTTTAGATAAGAGATGATTTCGGCCAAAAACTCAAAAAATGACTTAGGCTATTATTTTAATAGGGTGATGAGAATACCGTTGCATGCTGTCAGCACTGCTTCCCTTGGTTATTGATGGAGTCCTCATTTCTGGTAGAGCATCAACAGTAGTGATGAAGACCTGTAAAACGTGTCATTAGTTTATACAGTATGTTCACCTGTCTGATGACATTGGATGGATTTCTTATTGCAACATGTAGACACTGGGCTTTATGTCTCTGCTTTTTTTTTTTTAATCCTCCATAGTTTTGTTATTTCTCTAATAAATTTTCAACACTCTGACATCAAACACACGCTGTACTTTTCTCCTCTGCTGCATGGCCAAAACCAAGCCAGAGTTGGCTCAGAGGCCTCAGAGTGAGTCTGATCTTCGCTCCGACACAGAGGTGTGACTCCAGACTCTGAGGCTCAACGCGCTGGCAGCTTACTCAGACTGTAAGAGGATTGGGACTTGCCCATATGGGTCAGTGCAGACAGACACAGCCCAGGAGAGTTGTGTGAGAGTTTTATTAGCAAAGATTATCCAGCTAACCCTGACCATGACATCTATTTATGGAAAGTACATGCATATGTTCACAGTGCTTTGAAAATAACCTAATTTTTTCTCACAGCACATAAATTAATATTGTACAGTCTTCAAGAGCCAACAGCAGCGTCAAGTTTTTTCATGTCTTGTAGAATAACTTTTACCTATGCTCGAAACTCAGGACAAAACAGGACACATTGGGTCTCATTTTTAAATGTGAGCAGAATAAAATTGTATAAACTGTTTGCAGAATAAATCTCACATTTATCAGTATTTGAGTGGCTCTGATATGTTTGTGGGTATGGACAAAACTTCTATCTCTACATCTGAAAAGTTTTTTTCTCCTCTTTCTCTCTGCGTCCATGCTTGGAAGCACATGTCCCTCCTCCTTAGATGGTGGTCATTGGCTAATCATGGGTAATAATTTACGTTTAATTTGAATTCATGAATGTACTCATGTGACTACAATAAAATCCTAGTTTTCTGC